CCCGGGTGTGCAAGAGCCATAGTGACCTGTGTCGAAGTCTATATGGTCTCGTGAGCTCTTTACAGGGCAAGCTTTCTACGTTCCGAATCCCCATTCTACCAGTGTGAGGCTCTAATTCATCGTGACCCTAAAAGAAGTGACTAACATTGTTGGGCGAAAAGCTAAATGTATTTGTTCTTTTCAACAACTCAATAATACGGATCTTTGTGTAATGTTTTCTGCTAAAAACCTAGCTAGCGAGTCAGCCAGATTGTGTTGATTCCTTAACTTGCCTGAAATGCGCTCTTAATTAAGTAGGGATGGCGATGTTGAATGCGCGTCTCTTCGGCTTCTATGATTCTGGATTTCGAAAATTTATTTCCTGGTACCTAGGGAAACAATCAATATTTAGGTGAGCTACTTTTCTCTTTGTCCCCGCTCCTTGTTCTACCCTTTTCCGTGGCATTCAAAAAGATTATCTACTATTCGGATGTATTGTTTGCCTCGTGTAGGATTTCATTTTTTTAGTAGGATATTTTATTGACATTTTATATAACTTCCGTCGAAAATAATTTGAATAAGTCTAAACATGTATGTGATAAGCACCAGTGAATAATTGCTCAGAAGCCTTAGAAAATTCCAGCTAAGGTTTAGGTGGTCTAGCTTCATCTTCCATACCCGGGCGGCGATCTAAAAGACCAAGTAGGAGTTTTTGAGACAGTGTTTTCGCTATTGAAGGGAAAGATATGCTTTCATCTTGACTCAAAGTCCTTATAAGCTCTAAACACCTCGACAAAATCATTTGTTTTTCTCGTTCGTTAGGAAACTTTGCCTTGAAATTTTCCTCGTTCACGAAAACGCTTTAAAAACCAATTTTTCTTGAGGTTTCTTCATCCTTCTCAGCTGAAATGACAACTTCGTACTACAAAAGCCTCTCCCAACCTATGTAAAATGCTGTTCATCAGGCTTTAATGATATACATATGAAATGCCAACATGTACCGTACACTTTGCGCCAATTCGGTTATTTTCCTTGAATAGTGCTCCAATTTTGGAGCGAATTGCCTTTTTCTTGGTTTAATTTCGGCGACTTTTGAGTGACAGCCGGACATCGTCTATGAATGACAGGGCCGCGAGCATACAGACGAGGGAGTCGTATCGGCTTGAGGTGAAAAAGAGCGGAGCAAAGCAAATAGAAATGAAGCGAACGACGCGAATGAGCGAGAACGATGTGTGGTTACGGTAACGGTACTTCCTTCATCCGAGAATGAAGGCGAACATCAACCATAATTGAAGTGATCCGTGGGAGACTTCATCAAAACATTGTCACATCCTTTTGAACTCTGGAACAGGGACTTCTCGAGGAGGTGGGAGACCCATTGATTGACACAGCTACCAGTTACCAAAGCCAATCTCTCCTTGCACATAGGCGTCACCGTTTGCGAAATAATCTTGGTGGTAAGAGAGATTACGATCTTGTCAGAGGAGCATTTTGCTCCTCCAAAAGGTAGTTAAGTCTCATTATCGGCCACAGTACAGAAGCTAGGGCTGCCTGCCCACTTCGTCTCTATTCTATCTGGGCCTTTCATAGTCATTTCTGTGTTTTCTGTTCCTCTTGAATCCTTTTTCAGACTGATTGCACCTCAAGTTCTATCCTTCAATGTGTGCACCACCATTTTAACTGGTCCATATGGCCCAAACATTGAGCCATGGATTCTTTTATTGCAAAGTAAATAAGGTCAGTTTGACATAAGGGGCTACTAGCATACATTTGTTCAAAGGCAGGTGTTCTGAGCCTAGATGTAACCTCCTGAGTCTCAGGGTAAAAGCAAGCCTGCAGAAAGACTTGTGGTTTCCACCTGCTCTGCTTTTTCGACATTTAGTGCCATTAGTTATGGGATATCTCCAGCGTAACCGTTTCATGAGGCGTTTTTTGTGCACACCCAGTTGCATGGTAGCATACCACAGTTCCACATTAACAGAATCGTCAGAATCCTAGGTATGCAAAAGCTACGGTAATGGGCCCTACTGCAACACATCTAACTAGCGCCGCACACCCAGGTAGAAGTTCAAAAATCATTACATGAACGACCTCTAATGACGGAGGGTACCTCTCTACTGAGCTTGAACTTTGCTGTTTGTTTTGTTTTTCAATTCTGAATTTGCAACCTTTTTGCAGTCTTACAGTTGCCACAGCCTATTTGCAGTCCTGAAAATGTGATTTTCGATCTTGAAAATTATCTGTGCGGCAAACTATGTTGTTTATTCAATCTATGTTGTTCATAATTACACAAATGACCTCTCGCATTAAGCAGAGTTATTTTGTTTCCGAGGGAATCTAATATGAGGCATTGTTGGCCGGATAAAATAGATCCTTGTTTCGTAAGCTCAAATTAATTGTGAAAATTTTCTAGAGAAGGGACCGCTTAATTGTCGTTAATTATATATTATTTATATCTCGATTATTACTGCTGCTGATCATTCGTTATATTATATTTGCATATTGATTGTTTATCTATTTCCTTAGATAAAAAGGCAAACTCAAAATGATTGTTTCAATTTTCAAGGCAGGATATCCAAGTTGTAGTGAATTCTCTGTTGTATTCCATTTTTTCAGGAGGGCCAAGACGTTCAAGGAAGTTAGCCCTCAAAAGTTGGCAGCCTATGCAGGACTGTTGTCCCAAATAAGCACCGTAATCTTGATAGAGGCAGACAGTGTCTCATATTCCTAACCCCAGTCCTGCCAGGTAATCCAACAGTAACACTGGTAGACTAAAATGAATATTAAACGAAGAGGACTGCAGCTCGTCCCTCAAAAGAGCTATGAGTCGAGAACTCGTTTCAATATCACTGCCAAGCTATGACGAAGTTGATGATGAAATACATTCGGTCTAGTGCCAGAATATCGCCTTTGAATGTCACATGCCTCTCGTAAAAAGTCTAGGAGCTTGAAAAGATGATTAAGTGAAGAAAAATCCCAGCAAAAATAGCTTTGTGATGTCTTCAGTGAATACAAGAAATGTCCTCACTTCCGAAGAACTGAAACAGGGAGCTAATAAATAAGGGATTTTCTTCAAAATTTTAGGGCAGGATTCTTGGGGGATAAGTGATTTTCTTCAAAATTCTAGGGCAGGATTCTTGAGGGTTTAATCGACCGGTAATGCACGGAATCGAAAAAAAAGTCTGAAAGAGGGTACATCAGGAGCACAGTCCTTTAGAAGATGGCCTTCCCTACCTACACTACCCAAACAGGGGAACATGGTTGGCTACTTACCTGATATTAACCCTTTCGGACCTGAATTTTTCCCCGTGGAAATTTTTCTTCTAGCTATTGTTTATTACTTGTGAGCATATAGGTATCATTATGGCGAAATTTGGAAGCTATTCGATCACAAACAAAGAAACTAAGAAGCTTTGAAAATTGGCCCACCTTCTTAGTTTTTAAGCTTATGTCGAAACAATTCGAAATTTCATAGTTATGCCGAAAAAGTTTATAATCTTGCATAACATTATAACCCATAATTTTGATTTAGGAATGGATCTACTTCAAGTATTTTAAGAAAAAGTCACACTTACTTGGCCGGTTGCGGGGGTCAGCGCCCATTCATTGTTGCACTTGTACACAAATACTTGTAATACTAACAGCAACACACAATGAAATGGCAGGTTAGCTCATAATTAGGAAGGGGAAGGTTGACTGAAGCAACCTCTAGCAGGATTAGAAAAACCATGCTGTTTCAGCGGCAATGCAAGCGTTTGAATTTGGTGGTGGCAATTGCCACCGCCAGGGCCGAAAGGGTTAAAGTTCATGAACTCGGCGCTGTTTTTGAATGGACCCATTTCTTTTGGAAGAGGACCAAATATTTTATAAGGGACAAAATGGCGCAATAGCTATGAACGTGGAAAATCGCCTTTTCGTGTCCATTTCGTCAGTTATAGCCGTTCCCTTTGCAATTTCAGTTGACGTTTCGCTTCCTTATGAGCTCGTCGCATCAAAGCGATGGGTGATAAGCCGCTCGAGCTCCTTATCGGCTTAGACAGTGGAGCCTGATCAGCTTCTCATTCATATTGAAAATGAGCTATTGATTCCAGCTAACACCTACGAGATTCTTCCTAAGCACTCGCCGCATCGCGCGTTCTTTGCCAGAAAACAGTGCAAATATAAAATCTTTACGATTTGCATCATAGCACATAGTACATTCCGGACATCAATAAACAAATCATGAAAATACACAGCAATAAGGGCTAGGGGACGACTTTCGTGCTAGCTTTCGCGCTAGCGCTAACACCAGTCGGTCACAGTGATCGTCGTCACCTAGCACCACGGGGAACGCCAGACTTCGCGCGATTCGGCGGCATTCGCGCGACTCGGCGACGTCGGCGAGCAAGCAAAAACCCACTGAAGCTATCTCAAAGTACGTGCTAAGGACAACGAAAACACACGCGCACACACAGCTCAACAAACAAACAAAGAGACCCTGTGTCAAAAATGTGTGCGAAATGAGTACGACGGGATTATTCGCGGGGTTTGGGCTTTGGGGGGGGGTGAATGACGACAACAATTGGGGACAGCAAAATTCCACTAACTAGAATGACATGTTGATACAGCATAGTTAAAACTAGTATACGTCATGAAATAAATGTGATGTCGTGGATGGAGAGAGAGAGCGCGAGAGAATTGAAATAATCGATTAGAATATCGATTTTCTCAGATCGATGAAAACTGAGCAGTTGTGTTGAGAGTGTAATGGGCACTCATGTACAATATAATCATCGTCGAATACCATAATAAGCAAACAACAAACAAAAAGAAGAAAAAGAAGGAAAAGAAGGAAAAAGGAAGACGAGAAAGACGTCACTACTCTACATATTATATAAATACGAATATGCAACCACGAAAAAATAGCGCTGACTTCGCTGGTTTGGTGGGTCAGCGACCGACGATGGTTTTACCACGACAATCCGCAGAAGACCTGTTGCTGTCCTTCTGATGTCCTTCTTGGACCTACACACACACGGATTTTAGCCCTCCATACCGTGTGTAGACGACAGAAGGCTTGGATCCATCCAGGGCGCCGTACCAGCTGGTGGAAAACCCATCATTCCCATTTGAGGCATAAATGGATTGGCCATTGCCCTGAATTCAAATAATCTATATAAAAAGGTCTCGTTATACGGTAGCCCAGAAGCTTAAGGACTGAACAACTTACGGATTTGGGAATGCGCTGTAGTGAGCGGTTGGGAACATGGTTCGCTGCATGTTGTAGATGTCCGCCCCTGGGTACGCCATCGGCATCGTGACGGCAGCTGCCGCATCGGGTGAGTAGCCAGCTCCAAGATCTTAAAGGGAATTTATTGGCATCATTATCCACAAAAAATACGAATACGTTTGTACGGAACCGAAAAGTCTTTATATGGGAGTCGCTGAAAAATAAGGTG